GTCTGGATGTTATTGAGGAGAAAACATCAGGTATGGCCTGAAACTTTATATAAACTTTGTTTGATTAGAAAAGGTTTAAAAGTGATATTATGTGAAACCTGATTGATTCAGAGGTATGGAATTTGAATTGCTGAATGCTTTGCTTGAAAAATGGAAAGGATTTGGTAGTATGTTCCTATTTGTTCATATATTTGTTATATATATGAAATGTTGTTTTCCATAAAAGATTTTGGTGATTTTCACCCTTCAATAACATTAATAGGGTATTTCACTAGACCTTTCGGTCTAACCCTCGTTTTGTGATTTTAATTATGTATTGCAGGAGGTACGGACGGTAAGGGAAATGGGAAAATGTAATATTTTTCCTACATGTATTTCTGCATGAAGATCTGTCTTGATGTATAGTTTTGATTGAATAGTACAAGAAATGTATTTGAATTTTTAGACCTTGTATTTGGTTATAATAGATTCTTGTACTATGGGACTTGAATGGGATAATGTCATGTATTTCTTTTGTATGAAATATATGTTACATGCAATGTGTGGTTTGGGGCGTTACATCCGAACTGTCGGTTTCCACGACATTTTCTTCAGCAGCAACAACATCAGAACCTTGGCAGCTATCTGCAGATGCAGTGACACTTTCACTGACTGCAGAATTGTCGGAGGACTCGACAGAATCTGTAGTGGCAGGAGACTCAGATCGAGGATGATAACAGGATCGAGAAACAAGAATATACAGAACAAGAATATACAAGCTTAAACTGGAAATTTTATTACTTCAAAACTGGTACAGAGAGTTGTTTACAAAGGAAGAAGAGAAGGATTATAAAATTGAGCGTAATGACCCAGTTTTTTGCATTTCCAACAAAATGGTACTTTCTTATCCTTTCTAGGATTTTTATATTTTGAAGAAGATTTATCTTTTTTTTTCTTCCATTTAAAATATTCTTTGAATTATTTTCTCTTTTTGGGTTTCGAAGATTTTGGAAAACTGTTTTTTTTTCAAAACCCATTTGTTCACAAAAATCTCCCAAGGCACTTTTCCCTGAGATTTTTTAATTTTAAATTTGTTTTTGCGACTTTATTTCGTTGCATAGTGTGATACCTTTTTTTATGACTTTAGATGCTAAATCTCCATAAGTCAAATTATCATACGGAATTTTCCCATTATTATTATTGTTAAGACGATTTTTAATTCTTTCTGCAAAAAATAAGGAAGTCGAGAAAGAATTTTTTCTTTCCAAATTTTCTGATGTCCATCATTTCTTTGATAAATCTTTGAAAAAAAATGTCTTTATACCATTTAAAATGGGATAAAGCTGGACATCTTAGATTAATTAATTGCTCTTGAATTTTATCTGTATACGAATTATTTTTTCCAGTAAAATGAGTAATAATTGTATACAACTGTGTATTAACTGAATCTGGCATAGCCTCAGATTGATTAGGATGAACTTTAATTGCATGAGTAATAGCATATTTTGCTTCGGTAGTTAAATAATTATCCCACCAACCTTTTAGCTGTCTTGTGAAACCATTAACTAGCATTTAACATATAATTGTATCTTTATTATCATTGGCTGCATAAACTGTGGCACACATAAGCATATGATGAATTAATTTGGTATTCACTAAATCCATCTAAATTCCATTCATAAATAGATGATCCATCAAATTGTTGATTAGTCATCAAATTGTTGATTAGTGGGTAATTCTTCTTCATGTAACAAATCAACAGAAGATGGTCTATGATAATAGGGTTTATTTGATTTAAAATTTACTTTTCTCATATTAGAGATACGATTAATTTGAGACGGACTATTTTCCTCCTGAAGTGTTAAACTTTCTAATTGAGTTATTAACTCATCAGTTGTAGGTTTTTGCTCCTCAAATTTTTTTTTTTCAAAAAAATTCATTTGTAGATAAAGGAGCAATTCCATTGTCAGTCTTTATGGCTTTAAGCCTTTCATATATCTTTTTGACTACGTCAGAATCAGTCGGCTTAGATAATTTCATTTTTTCTCCAGATGTATTGCTCTGGAAAGAAGCCAATTGTTGAGTTGATAAGCTCTTAGGAAGATTTAATCTTTCCTGTTCAATTTGATTTAATTGTTCTCCAATAGATTGAAGAGACAAGTTCGTATAATTATTCTATTCAATAACAGACTCTATACTTGGAGTTTTTCAAAAAGGTTAAGCTATTACTTCTTCATTTTCTTTTTTAATTACTAATTTCATATTAGGAGGATGTATGGTCCTAATATTACTCCCCTTTTTGGTTATGTATGTTTTATACATACTTTCGAGACCTAGAAAATAATTGTGGTCCGAAAAATCAAGAAGTGTATATCCTCGTAATTTATATGATCTTTTAATAAAATTAAAGAAATCTATCTCTTTAGGATCATAATCCTTTCCTATGGTTTTAACAAAACCTTCGAATCTATTATACCAATCTTGTTTATATTCTTTAGATTGGATAATAGTCCACCATTTTCTTATTAAATTATTTTTCTCCGAATAAAATTCTTCTTCAATTTCCCCATCAAAAGGAAAATCTTTTTCTTGTTTAGTCAAAACAAATATTCCTCTATCTTCTGAATAGCCCATGTCAGAGGCTGTAGAAGATTGAGGATCTTTATAACATTTAGGAGTTTCAACTCTGTAGATGATTGACAAACTTCATCTTTTGTAAAATTTGTTCTACTACGGAAACTTTCTCAAAAGAACTAGAAGGTACTGATGATGTCGAAAATTTACGAGATGAATTATCTTTTAATCTAATAATTCTCTCTTTTAAAAATCATAATTCAACATCACCATCTGGATGTTTAATTATTTCTTCCAATTTTTTATCTTCTTCCCAAGAAATAGTTTTTGGAATCATCTTATTGCTTTTAGCAATATTTGTAATAAATAAAGTTGTTTCTCCTTTATCATTCAAGTTTTGAATTTGTCTGATATTAGGAACAACTATATTCATTACTTTATAATGAATTCTATAAATAAGAATGACATTTTCCGACCCTAATAACATGTCATAAGCTTCAGATTTAATATCCAAGGATAAAACATGCATAAGATGCGGATCATTTAATGATAAGGTGAAATTTGGAAAACACGAAAAATATATCGGCCCATTACAAAGACTTGATTCTATAACTCCAAGGAGTGAATCATGAAATTTGCGATGTCTTTTGTCACGAAGACATATTAAAGCAAATGTGTTTAAACCAAGTCTGGTTGCAGGTTTCAAAGCAATTTGAACCATACACCATACCCAGATGCAAAAATTTATATTTCTGCTGATGTTGCTTAATTAGTTTTGCTGATAATAATTGAAAAGTACTATACCCTTGGGATATAGGCATAGATTCTTCAACCGTTTTAATGATATAATCAGATTTGAATGAGAAATTAGATTTATAAATTAAATTCTATTTTGATTTTGGTAATTTCCAATTACATAGATCATAATCTATATTTTTGTTTATAATTAATTCTTTGTTTTTATTAAAAACAGATGAAGATGATGTTTGAGAAGAATTTCTTCTCAAGGACCTAATTATCTCACTCATTAATTCAAACTCTCATCTACAGTCAACGACTTTTACCAGAAACGTATTCGAACATCTACCTGGGAATTATCGTCAGTTCTGAACGCGACTTGGTATCAAAGAGTAAACAAACAAGTGAAATTAAATTAGTACCTTGATTAGGGTTCTTCAATCACCACCAGTGTAAGAGCTTCTTGGCTCTAATACCAAAAAGAAATAGGATCGAGGATGATAACAGGATCGAGGAACAAGAATATACAGAACAAGAATATACAAGCTTAAATTGGAAATTTTATTACTTTAAAACTGGTACAGAGAGTTGTTTACAAAGAAAGAAGAGAAGGATTATAAAATTGAGCGTGCCCACAACAGAAACAGAACTCTAAATTTATATAAAGAAAAAGCTACAAATGGGACCCACAAAGGATTCCCACAAAACAAAAACATGGCTAAAAATAAGTCAACCCAAAAGCTAAGGGGACCACCACCATGAAAGGAGATTCCTTATGTCGATGAATTATCGAGGGCAATAATTGCGTTTTTGACGTCATTACTTGTGATTCTTTTCCAGAAACTTGGTTTTACTTTATCACAAAATCGTCCTCGTAAGGGTCTTGCAAATCTATCATAAGATTATCTTTATCGTCATCTTCTGACACATGCGAAGATTCAGATTCTTCTTGTTGAAGGAGTGCAATTATTTTGGACAAATCCTCTTTAGGAACTTTAGAAGTGAATTCTTTTAACAAGTCTGATAAATCGGGTTTTGGAGGTTTAGGAGGTTCCAATTCAATTAACCCTTTAGTTTGGAACACCGAATTCTCGAAGAAGTTGAACTTCAGCCACCATTTAATTAGAATTCGTCTTCCTAAATAAGGAATGGGTTTGAAGGTCTCACCCAATTTAGATAAATTTCTTTGAGAAATGATAGCTTCCCAGCGAACAATCCATGGTACTTGATAAARCACAGTAAACCATAATGAATGGTTTGGTAAAGAGGTATTTATTTTAACAAAGTCTTCATAAACGCTTCTCACTTTATCCGACAAACATATGGGATATAATCCCCATTTAATGAACCAGGTTATAAACCAATTCGGAATATCCATTTTTCTCATTTCGGCAGAGAACTGAATCCACCACGAAAACTTTATCTGACGATTTTGTATGGAAATTATGTGCATAAATAAGTATGCAATAAATATGTGAATTCTATGCATGATATGCATGTATGTATGTGAGTATGCTTAAGTAAAAGCATGTATTAAATTATGCATGTGTGCATAATTAATTATATCGATAATTGGATGTATACATGAGTTTGTATGTATTCATATGCATGAAAAATTATGTATGCATGCATGGGAAGGCATGTATAATAAAGGGCTGCTAAACCGCCTTTCTTTTTATAGAAAGGGGTATAAATAGGTAGTGAGGGTTTCAAATAAACCTTTTGGCTATTTTGAAAGAAAAACCAGTGAGAGTTGAAAAAGAAGTTTGATCGGATTGTTCTTGACCGGATTTCTAGATCAAGTTGATTTCAAGTGTTTGGTTTCAAAAGATTTGAGGTGAGTGATTTCTAAACCTTTTTGCATAAAATTTGTTACTGGTTTTATTTGAATGTTATTTATCATTAGAAAGAAATCAGTTATTTGTTCAAGGGTTTTTATCCGGGTAAAGGCTGTTCGGATTAAGTTTTAATCGGACAAAGCTTGTCCGAATTATTTGTAAATCGATCAAGCTCTGGGCAATGTATTGTCCAGACTTTTATTCGGACAAAGTTGTTGAAATTTATTCTAAGTGTTAAATCGGTCAAGTGTTGGGTGATTAAGTCTTAAATCGCTCAGGTGTTGAACGGTTTAACCTTAAACCGGTTATGTGTCAAGCGGATTAAAATTGGTTATCTTTTTGAACTAAGTATGAATACGACCATATGGTGACCGAATTATTTTAAATCGGTTGCGCTTTGGGCGATGTATTGTCCTGACTCTTTATCCGGACAAAGTTGTTGGAATTATCCTAAGTGTTAAATCGGACAAGGCTGGGGCGATGAGTTGTCCGGATTTGGTAAACCGGCTAAGACTTGACTGGAGATGAAGTCCGGCCAAGCCTAGGTTGACCGGATTTGTTTTATGTCTTGTGTCTGATTGATAAAAATTGTTATTTTATCATAAAATGAAGGTTTGATAAAAATGATTTTGGATTAATAATAATTCCATTTGATGCGGTCTATTTGGAATTGTTTTATGAAAAGTTTTGATGAGGAAATAAGACTGGCATATCAAGGAGAGGTGTACCATGGGATAAGGGTGGCATATCAAGGAGAGGTGTACCATAGGATAAGGGTGACATATCAAGGAGAGGTGTACATTTGATATAAAGGTGGCATTTGTATGTGTGTTGTATGATATAACTCTTTCTATTATATCCCTTAAGACTAYCGTGGTCTGAAATCTTTATTTCTTTGTGATTTAAAGATTTAGGATCAAGGTTCTTATTGGAAATCATAGTCTGGATGTTATTGAGGAGAAAACATCAGGTATGGCCTGAATTTTTATATAAACCTTGTTTGATTAGAAAAGGTTTAAAAGTGGTATTATGTGAAACCTAATTGCTTCAGAGGTATGAAATTTGAATAGCTGAATGCTTTGCTTGAAAAGTGGRAAGGATTTGGTAGTATATTCCTATTTGTTCATATATTTGTTATATATATGAAATGTTGTTTTCCATAAAAGATTTTGGTGATTTTCACCCTGCAATAACATTAATAGGGTATCACACTAGACCTTTCGGTCTAACCCTCGTTTTGTGATTTTAATTATGTATTGCAGGAGGTACGGACGGTAAGGGAAAGGGGAAAATGTAATATTTTCCTATATGCATTTCTGCATGAAGATCTGTCTTGATGTATACTTTTGATTGAATAGTACAAGAAGTGATTTAGGTATTTAATAACATGGGATAATGTCAAGTATTTCTTTTGTATGAAAT